CAAGGTTAACTTTCTGTGAGAAACAACCAATCAACAGACTGTATTTTCTACTAACATTAACCTACAATAATGTACATCAAAATCTATAAATACGTGTTGATTTTCCGTAATAAACGATCTGTTGCCTGGCTCTTGTCTTCTGTTGTTACAGTACCAGCACTGCAGAGATATCGCGTTATGGAAAATGGAGAGAATAACTTCGTTATTGGCAGGAGGTGTCATTGTACACGTGGATAAGTGGAAAGGTTATAACTACCTGTAATCCCTTGGATTTATCCTACACAGAGTGAACCATTCTAATGATTTTGTGGATTCCATTACAGGGACACACATCAGTTCTATAGAAGGCTTTTGGGAATGATTAAAAACAAGATTAGGGTCATTAATGGATCTCAGAAGGATGTCATTTATAGTCATTTAGATGAATATATGTATAGAATATGGTGTAACTTTTCAATTGATGCTCCTATGCTCAACTGGGAGATGCTTTTACCACATATCAGAGAAAGGTACATTATGAAACATTTTTATGCAGATTTTATGCTTTTTTTCCATAAATTTATATTTTCTATAACCAAAAATGACCATTTTATGTGATTGGTTCCTTGAGGGCCGTTCGCTGATTGGTAGATAGTGGTGTTTAAAGTTTAACTTTGCCCGAAGATGAAATAGAAACCACGGTCCTTTGGATGTTTAGTACCTTAATACACCAGCTGACCTTCAAGACTTGGACTACTGTTAGTCAGGTGATCACTTCACTTCAGTTGTCACACAGAGTGCCTATCTACTGGCTGTTTACCGATTGTGAGGCTATCGGGCACATCTTCAAGTTACCTGGAGTTGAAATAAAGTTATTGGTCAGGCCATACCTCAGACATTAATCTACGAGTTACCAGTTGACTAACGCAGAGCTTTGCACAGAAGTATTGCAATGGAAGCTGCCATATTCCTTATAGTACACAAGGTAGAGCAGTACGAATTTAAACCAAGTGTGTAATACAAAGAAATGTATGGGAGGAAATGAAAACTGCATAGAGAATATGCACATTGGATTATAGGAATTATTAAAAAGACGGTTGTAGCGAAGAAAATTTTCTTTTCGACGAAGTCATCAACTAGGCTGTGCATTCGTGTATTTATGACAAATGAGTGGGAAAGTTCCAGAATAATTTCCGGTCTAGGGTCAAATTAATAAAATTCCTAATTATAATTTTGACCGGAAATTATTCTGGAACTTTCCCACCCATTTATCATAAATATTGAAGATTCACTGAGTCTGGGAATTTATACTTAAGTGGTAAATTTATCTTCACCAATCAGAACGATTTGCAGCTTTATCATCAAAAGTTTCAAACCAGTGATTTTCAGCGTGTTTCGATGACCTCGACTAGACTTTCTAGACCTCTTTATGTGGTTCAAACCAACAGTCTAAAATTTTCGTTCCATAGCAACTAACTCCTTTCTAAATTCATTCGATCTAAGCAAACATCGCTCCACAAGAAAGACGATGAATGGTTCAGCATCTGTATCACGTATCTTAGTCATCTCAATCAGTGCAGCTGCACAGCTTCATCGGCTGACACTTCCTCTTTACCTAACACTCTATGCCTAACCTAAATATAATTCAATATATTGTGACATATTTAATTCAATTTTAGATTTTCCCGTCGATTGATTGGACGGAAGTGTTTTTGTCTCATGTTGACATGTCGGCTTCTTGTACAAATGCTTCGATGATGTCTAGGTATGTAATTAGAAGTTAATTGGTAGATGGTGACTAGCAGCGGAATCCAGGATAACGCGTATTTTTTCATATTTGGGACTCGTCATCTAGACGTGCCTGCATTCCCCAGTGAGTGATGATGTTCCCACCGAGGCCGAGTGACCATATTTTTTAAAAGCCTAAGCGTTATCAATCGACGGGAAAATCTAAAATTGAATTAAATAATTAATATGACCGGTTGCACAAGAGGTGGCCCTCGTGGCCCAAGTAGTCTAGTGGATAACGCATTGGCGTTTGAAACTATGGGAACTGGGTTCGGGCCTCATCACTCACTGGGGAATGCAGGTACATCCAGATGACGAGTCAGAAATAGGGGGAAATGCGCCTTATCCTGGATTCCACTGCTAGTCACCATCCACCAATTATTGTGACATATATTATGAGAGATGGAAGGCAAGCATCTGTGGTCAGAGATATACAGCCCATTTCAAGTCTTCTACTTTAAATGGTCATGTCTTACAGTTATGAGGAAGGACTGGGAGAATTGTTGTTCAGGATAAACATACTTTAATCAATAGCCAGATGTCACATCTACTCTGAAGGTAAAGTAAGTTGGCAAGTGACACAAACCAAGATTTCGTTAGTAACATATGTGACTGATATAAATTCTCAAATGCTAACTCATAGTTGCTACCTTGATGTGATGGTCAGGATTGCACATTAAAATGACCTGACAAGCCACGCTGGCCGAAACTAATGTCCCTGCAAGTCATACTATGCCAAAAGGTTGTTAAGATAGCGATTAGACTAAAGGCAGTTACCGGCATAGTGTAAGACGTTTACACTGTGTTGATGGTCTATGAGTAACAAGGGTATAACAGCAGTAAGGTGCTTCCCTCTGATGACAAGCATGCTAGTTATACTGTCTCTCTATTCAGGAGAGAAGGGGTTAGAGAAGGTAGACCTCAAGAATTGTACATCCTGATTTACCTAACGGCAGTAAGATCCTAATTCCAGCCGTATATGACCGGCTTCAAGCAACTGTTCTCTGCACTATGGGGTCATGCGACACTTATTCTCCTTCTGTTTCTGGTTCCCCAAGAAAAAGATTAACTTTCATGGTGTGGGCAACCCGGAAGTAACAACCTCCTACATACACTTCCAAAAGCACACGAAGCTCTCTTGGAGTAAACTTCGCAAATAAGTGAAGTGGCGGTAAGCACACTGAACCTCTTCACTCTTTATCTTTAAAGAAGGAGTCGGTGCAGACCAATCGAATGGCATCCTCGTATGTTTGACAGAGGTGAATTGCATTATTAGCTCAGATTACCCATACTACATCCACATACAATTCATATTTGTAGAGATAATTACACACACACTCACACACACATCAGTGTAGCTTGTCACCTCAAGTGGCTTCATGTGGATTATTCTCATTAAAGAGTATTTACGCCTTAAATTCCATTGAAAAAAGTAACCAGAAAAAAAATATAGTGATCGCCGAATTGGACAAGGATAACATAGTCGCAGTTACAGGCAAATCAGATTACACCAAAAAGGTCGATCAGCATACTAAAACAGGCTCATATAAGGAAACTGAAGAACTCATGGACACTATAATGAATAGGATCCAAAAATTTACCGAAGATCTAGTTCCCTGAATAAAGTTATCTATGGCTAAGTCAAAGTGGTTTAATCTAATGCCTGAAGCTAATAATGCTAGTAGAATGTATGTTATTTTGTTATTATTCCCTTGCGTTCCGAATGGAACATAGGGCTGGCTTCAACAACACATTTCCACTTTCTTCTGTTTTCTACCGTCCTCTTCAGTTGTGGCCATGATTGACAAAACTCTGTCATCTCTTTTAGATTTCTCCACGAGTTTATTAGTCATCTCTCCTGGCGGGTCACTTTGAACGTGACTGATTGTTTTTGTGTGTTTTCACACCCTCTAGGCTACTTGTATTGGTATTGGTGCTGATTGTTTCCTTGACTTGAACTTTGACCCTTTGTGTGTGAGATTTATTTCTTATCAGTTGGTAAATTTTGTCTATCTCGATGTGTCTGTTGATTGACGATTCACTGGAATACCGCGTTTCTAGAAATTGCCTGGTATTCTTGGTGTTTCTTCTGTCTAATATTTGAACGTTGTCCCAGTCGAATTGATGTCCGTTGTTGTCTGTATGCAGGGATATGAGTGAGGGAATGGATGTCATGTCTTTTGGCGGGTAGTTTATGTTCATGGATAGGAAGATGAAGGGGACATCCACTTTGGCCGACGTAGTGTTTTTCGCAGTTGCTACAGTTTATTTTGTAGATGATGTTGGTTTTATCTTCTTTCGTTGTTCAGTCTTTTCGTTGACACAGATCCAGCTGAGTGGAGTGTTTTTGTTGGTTTGTGTTCGACATCAATTCTTGAAGGTTTGAGGAGTCTTGCAGTGATGTCTGAGATGTCTTTTATATATGGTATTGCCATTTTCTTTGTGCTTTCCTCGGAGGCCTTTAATTTGATAGGTTGACTTGGGGACAGATTCCTTTTGATGAAGTTTCATGGATATCCATTCTTTTGGAAGACGTCCATGAGATATCTTTCTTCAATTTTTCTTCATGTGGGAGTGATGCAATGAGTCCTGGCTGGCCCTCTTGAATAGTGTTAGCATAAAATTCCTTTTGTGTGCTACTGGACTGTCGCATATCTCCACATAGAGACAATCACAGACATCGATTCGACTGGGACAACGTTCAAATATTAGACAGAAGAAACACCAAGAATACCAGGCAATTTCTAGAAACGCGGTATTCCAGTGAATCGTCAATCAACAGACACATCGAGATAGACAAAATTTACCAACTGATAAGAAATAAATCTCACACACAAAGGGTCAAAGTTCAAGTCAAGGAAACAATCAGCACCAATACCAATACAAGTAGCCTAGAGGGTGTGAAAACACACAAAAACAATCAGTCACGTTCAAAGTGACCCGCCAGGAGAGATGACTAATAAACTCGTGAAGAAATCCTAAAGCTCACTTCAATTCGAATTGAAGTATTCCGTGAAGATTTTGCCTAGTAGGGGTCAATGAAAGCTTCGCAATTCAACCATCCAACTCAGAGAACAGAACCACATCAAAGTCATCCACCTGAGCTAAACATCTTCTCCATTATATCTAAATAACCTTATCTCTAATATGGAATTACATTCTACGCATATTGGCTTAGTTCTACACTTACATGAAAGAGAAAACACAGTTATTATAATTTGTTAATTAATTACCTTGACCATGCAAATGATTTTGTATAATCATCATTAAAAATTGTTTTAATTTGTCCTTTATTCATAATCATTAAACATTGATCATTTTTTGTTTTATTCACTTCACTCTGCAGTGTTGAATTTTGCATTGAACAGATTAAATATTGTCTGGGTAATTCAAATTTTGTTGTATATCTTGCAGATAATTCATTTTTTGGTATATCTATAGACATCCATAATAATTCTGAGTGATTTAGGCTACTTAAATAGTTACTACTGTCACGTATATCAGTAGTATGTAGAGTAGTTTGATTATTATCTGTTAATGATCCATGAATTGAAATAACTTTTATGAAATTCTGACTGGTGACAATATCTACATCAATCTTAAAGTGAAACAGATGATGATGAAGGACAAAGTAGATTGGATTAATTGATGACGAGAAACCATATTTTACCGCCTGTGGACTGCTACTACCTCCATATACGAGTTGTTCATCAACGTGGATAAAACCTGTCGGTGTAACAGAGAATTCAATGGTTCCTGTTGGATAAAAGATTATATCAAATAAATAATCATAATTATATAAACTTGATATCGATCGTAGAACAAGTGAATGACCAACAGTACCAAAACCAAAATTAGTATGTTTTGATTTCTTTGATGATCTTTGATCTGGATTTCCTGGTGTATTTTGATTCTCTACATCACTGTCTGTGGCGAATTCAAAATGTCTTCTCACTGGACCACCATAAGGGCCCGCCTTCCATTCAAACAAGCAGATTGCATTTTTAATCAATTTGGCTCCAGTTTCACCGGATGGAATCAATTGGACAGGTAGGTAGATAGCATTGTGAGGACAATCTAAACCTGGGCTAAGTTCTGAAGTCATACCGCCTATACCATACATAGATTCCAATGAAGTCATTGTTTGCATAAACGGTGATCTACCCCAGTAGGCGGTTACAGTTTCATCTAGTCCAGCTTCAGAGAATAAACTAACATTTGCATAATATACACCAAAGAGTCGAATGCCTGTATCTCGTCTCAGTGTTACATGAAAATCCCATTTCTCATATTGTATTCGACGTTTATTTATACGAATACGACTTATCATTTGATGCGGAGGTGTTGATTTCTGTGAACTTCTGTCAGATCCAGTTTTAGATGATTTGTACTGCTGTGGATCAGGTTTTAATTGATTAGGATACATATCGATAAATTGTCGATGAATGATTTTCAATTCACCTAACTGGTATTTATTGATTAGATCTTCAAGGGATGAAAACAGATGACCTTGAAACCAAACACGTAATAAACTCCATTCATTTGGATTCAAGGATGTAAGATCAATCTGTAAGTTTCAAGAAAAAGCAAAAAAAATCGATCAAAACCTGACGAAAAATGAACACAGTTCATAGAAGGGAAGTTAGATTCAGATGATACGATTTCTGGCGATTTTGAAATAACTCCAGCTGTTAGATTTTCGTTAAGAACTAACATCACTTAAAGAGAGAGGGCTCATTAAAAGCTACCAAGGAGCAGTGCTGTGCAACATGTCAGCAATGCGATCCCACCACCCCAATTGGGGTCGGATCCGAGACCTTCAGTGACCTCTGAATTCTAAATTTGTCACCATTGTGTGAAATAGTGCTGCCCTAACCATTGCATTCGATGACTAACCACTCCACCTTGACACTTGGTTGACCCCACTGGTCAAAACTTCTCATTAGAGCTTAAGAAAATCAGATTTTCAAGTCGTGTAAGTTGTCAAATATAAAAGTGACAAATCCTTAGAGACATAGAAGCTTTGACGCCTTATAATGACCCCGATAAATTCATCAGGAGTCATAAAAGAAATTGTAAGAATAAAATTAGCACTAATAATATTAATAGTAATAAGGACAACATGCAGAGGCTTTCAAATCTTGTCATTGAGTTCTACGTTAAGAAATTAATACATTTATTTCCCTTAATGAATTTGAATAAAGCAAGAACAACAGTTTTGCCGAATAAAATGGTACCATCATTGTTTATTTCGTTGGCATCTTTCTCATCAGCTGCTTGCAGGCCAAAGTCATTATTAAGTATATCTACAGAACCAATTTTAATATACTTGCACAGAGTTCATTTTTAAACAAAAATCAATCAATCAGTATATGAGCACAATAATAATATATATATATATATATAAAATTAAGCACTATTCTGAACAATAATGACCAAACACAATGGAAACTTTCAACATTACGTAATCAAATGAAAGAGAGATGAAAATTCTCAGTAACCAAGATGGCAAGAGAAGACTAATAACCACTTCTTTCTGAAAGCATAAACCAGGTTTCAGATGCTTGATGGGGATCGCTTCGGTAAACCTGAGGAGAATTGAGCTCTTTTGCTTAATGATAATTCTGAAGGACTTTTCGACGTCCACCTCATGACCGGTGTCGAGGAGATGCCTGGCGATGGCACTGCTTAAAGCATTTGTTCCCTTTAGACGTAAGCTTTTTGGTACATGTTCAGAAGATCGTAGATATGCCCTACTTTCTGTCTTTCCAATGTAACTGCTCCTGCAGAGACATGTAAATTTTTATATACAGTTGGAGTTAACATGAGAAGGATATCTATCGATTTTTGATTGCACCAAAGAGCAAACTGTTCGATAGACAGAAACGAGCTTAGCTGCAGGATAGACTATGGCTAGTGATGTGCTCAGCCTTCTGTTGATCATCGCTGCAATGTTTTCACCTTTATAATCAACCTGAATGTAGATTGGCTTTTTCTCCACTGTGATTTGTTTGACATTTAAAACTTGAGATGTTCTGTACTTGTTAATGAACCTTTGAGGGTACCCATTGCTCTTCAATGTCTTTTCAAGAAACTCAAATTCTTCCTCTAATTTCTTTATAGAGCATAATCTCCTAGCTCTGTAGTATAGAGTCTTGACTAGTCCACGTTTAAAGCTACTTGGAAAAATACTATTAAAATGTAAGCTTTCGGTAAACTGACTTCTGAAGACTACCATCTTTTAGGCGTTGGATGGCAATGTTAAGGAAGTGGAACTTTCCATCACTTTCATGTTCCATAGTAAATTCAATATTGGTATGTACGTCACTGAATAATCTGAGTAAGTGGGAAGCATGACTTTCTTTGTTGCACACTACAAATGCGTGTGTCATCGACACATAGACAATAGGAAGTTGTTTCGTCGATTGCATGCTTTAACTTTGTTCTTTTAAGGTTGGACATGAATGTATCTGCTAAAACAGGGCTAAGTGGACTGCCCATAGCTACACCATCTATTTGGTGGTAAAGAGCGTTGTCAAATAGGAGTCGCACATTCATGGCACACATTAGCAGTAGGTGTTTGAATTCCTACTCTGGCAGTAAATAATTCCCCAAAATTATTAGCCTACAGAATGCATTATTTAACATTGGGATTCTAACCTACATTGTTTAAGTCGACTTGTCATTATCTAAAAAGCTTGTGGTCAATCATATACGCCATTTCGGTGGGCTGTTGGGTTGCATTCGTTCATTCTTGCACTACGCGCTTGATCTCAAAATCTATGTCGTATTTTTGACAGTTAATTCAGTGGCTTGGTTTGCCTTTGATCTTCGCAGAACATATACTTCAGGAGTCGGGAGGATAAGAGCTTGCACTGGTAAATGTCGTACTTTGAGTAGACGTCATCCCCCTCATCTCTTAAATCATAAAATGTATCATCTGAGCCAGGGTAATTCGAATTTATATATCAGTGTGCACTTTGACGAATAATATTCAACCTTCGTATACAATTGATTACAAATGCTCATATCCACTCGACGATATATTACTAGTTGAGATTACTACTTGTGTTGTTATCACCCTGGCCATAGTATTGCATATGTGTATGCTTGCTGACTTACTTCATGGTCAATTAGCATGTTTGTGGGGTACTGAGCTGAAGAATCTTAAGGAAATTTGCTATTGTTGGTGTTATCGTGGTGAGAGCTGGCTGCTAGTCAAACTGGTAGATAGTAATTTACGTCAATGTTTACCTCCTCAGTATTGGTCGTGACAAAATATGAACAAAGATTGATTCAAAACCGACCACAGCAGACTTTGTGTAGGCGGATACAGTTAGAATATAGATGATCTGACATTCAAGAAACAGCCACAAAGAGATGAAAGATTAACTTTACGTGAGAAACAACCAATTAGAAGACTGTGTTTGTTTGCTTACAATAATCTATAATAATGCACATGAAAATATATAAATATGCTTTGATTTCCTTAATAAAAGATCTGTTGCCTTGCCCTTGTTTTCTGTTGTTACATTATCATTGCAATTTTTCCCATATCTGTCGGAAGCCTTTGATTGAGATATGTTTGGGACCCACGCTTTTTACGAACTGTTGCCTTAAACCATCGTCTTAAACCTCTTGGCCGCTACACCAACCAGCTTAGTGGTCAGTAGGTCGTTGACAGTCATGTTATCGTCACATACGAATGATTGACTGACTCTGATGACAAGTCACGTGGTGTTAGAAAATGCTCTTTGAGAATTAAAAAATAACTCAAGGAAGAAATTCAGATATTCGGATTAATCTTCAGTGTAAATGTAGCCTGAATTGACCACCAGAAGTTAGAATTTTACAAGTCATTGAATATTATCCCAACTGGCTGAATATCCAATGAGTATGGCCTCGTTATAGGACGTTCCTAGGCTCCATCCCTGGAGTCACAGTATTGTAACGGTAGAAGACGAAAGACTTGGTAAAGGAATGTTTATTTGGAGTTTGGTATCTCTACATAGCCAGCTTATCTACACCTTATCTTCAGCGCATCGTTTGCACAGATCTTTGTGTTGTGCTACTTCTGTCCTTCATTCGTATTGTGTCTCTTTGTGTTTCTCTCATGTCTCTCATGTATCTCCGCAACGCGATATCATTTGCTTTCTATGACATCGAATGTATCTTCGTGCAATTCGATGCGTTTATGCCGATGAACGTCTCTTTACATACTACTGATAAATCTTATCAGTAGCATACGCCATAGTATGTATGCATTGCTGAAGAGTCCTATAATAGGACGAAACAGCTATCTAATACTCCATGGTTTTCTATGATCTCTCACAAACTGATGTTCGTTTCTGATGACATCTAAACTAGACTTACAAAAAAGTTAGGTGGTAAAACGCGATATCCAGAAGGGATAGGGTACTTTACCTACCCTAACTGTTAACAAATAGAAAATGTTTAAGAAACTAGGGTGACAGTGGGAAATTGTGCTAGGTGATTCATTCCATAGTGTGAATTTGGGAAAAGAGTAAGCAATCGAGATGATGTGAGCTCAGAATAACAATGCTTTAAGTGTGTACTTTAAATAGGCTTCTATCATGGCAGTTTTAAGTTGTCACTATACAAAGTCTGAAATGTGCATGGAGTACGCCTTACAAGTAAATGCTTTAGTATTTCTTCTGTTATATTCCTAATGAATTCACAATTTCTTCATCATCCCTCTATTGGTAGCTTTCACCACTCGATGACAGATAAAGTTTCACACCGGAACATTCAACGTCACAACTCTTCGCCAGATCGAACAGCAGTCTCTAATAGTAAGAACACGGTTATCTCGTGCCATTGATGTATGTTGTTTTTTTCGGAGCCTCGCACAGAAGACCCAATTGTGATTATTCACTTAAACCCACCTGTAAAATACGGTAGATCTGCAGAATTCACTTTTGGGGACGTCAGGAGAACCTTCGGATAATCCTCAAGGGCTCTCAATGAATGCTTGTTTGGATCTTACTGGATAGTCTTATGTGTGCTGTCCTGTTGAACGGATCCATTAAAAGAAGAAAAGATTGCGATATCCATATATGTCACTTCAGAATCTCCACTTACTCTCTAGACAATTGCATTTCGGACGAAATAGAGGATGAGTTTTGGCGAAAACTGTCTAGTTTGCTGCTGAAGGCGAAACACTTAGATAAAGTCATTTTCGCAATTGATTTCAGTGTTCAAGTAGGGAAGCCGTTCCAGTCAAAAATTATATTGATAGCACCTGTGGAGTTCTTTGCTGACGAAATGACATTGGCGATTGTCTGCTGAAGTTATTTTCTGATAATCATCTGTTCCTGGTCAGCACTAGAGTCAAACTTTTGGAGCGACACCACCTAATCTGCAGACTTCCATCATTAAGTCAACCATGGACTCTCTTCGACCTGTCCTCATTTTTATAAAAATAAATCTGATGCTCGCTAATGAGTGACTGACCACAAGTCAAAGTTGACTGGAGTTATACTAACAGGTGGTAACCTGTAGAGTCCATCCTGTCGGAAGTGAGGTTAAAAACTCACCCATGTAATCAGCTGGTGATCATGCTAAAATCAAGAGTTGTCAGAAGTTGAAATTCATGGACTGACCATTGGATCAGGTCCCAGAGACTGAATGGTCTACCAGTTTGCGTTGTAACCAGAAGGTTCTGGGTTCGAATCCCGGTGTCTGCCTTCTGCCAGTGAGTTTCAAACTAGTACGGAACAGTTGTCCAGTACTCCTTGGTTCTCAACAGTGCTCTGATTGATATCAGTCCGTGGGCAAACCTGAACTGGTTACAACTTGAGTTGCTACATTTTTAGTCTTTTATTACTATAATGATTTCAAGTAGTTTGCGGCTAATAAATACCCGTGAAATGAAATGATATCACTTTACATTGCGAATAAAGTCCTTCTTGCTTTATCGAGATTTACCAATGAGAACAGCATGTATGGTAGATGTAGGTGTTATGAAAACTGTTTATGTGTGTCAGCTGTCTTACCAGCTTTGACCTGAACAACTGGGATTCCTGTTTAACGACATCCCAAAATTATTCAACAATAAAAGTCATTTCGACTGAAACTTACATAAAACTGTATATCTACAGGATACTGTATGAAAGGTGCTACCTCTCTGGATAGTCGTATCCAAATGCATCGCCTTCCAGGTGTTTGATTTGTTACTAAAGGTGAAGCAAACGTTGGAATCAGACAATTCGGTCTTCCATTCACATTTCCAATATTCTTGTAGTTTTGCTTTTGACAAAGTGATTTACCTTCATTAATTGATTTATTATTCTTCAATAGCCAAAAATTATTTTTTAATGGATATTGCATAAAATAACTTGCTGAATATGCCTCTTGTATAATATGATCAATTCGATTTGTTTGAATTGACAAAAAATCCAATATGGCGTTATATTCAATATTTGTTAAAGGTCGTTTATAAAATGGATAAATATTTAAAAGTTTCAATTTGATTGGTCGACTTAATGGACCAATTAAATACTCTCTTATCTGAGGGATCCTTTTGCATGAACCACACAAAATGATTACTATCCCGTATCTTTTGAAGTCAGCATGCGTTTTATTCTGTTTCTTGAATGATAATAATCTGTTGAAGTATGCTGTACGTTCTTTCTTGTCGGGTATGTGTAAACTTAAACTCCATAGAATATTCATACGAAACTGTTCAGACCATGATTTATTATCTAAAGAGATATCTTGATTGCCTTTGGTATATGCATAAAAGTTATTGAATTTTAATTTTAGAAATCTAATAACATTTTCATATTCTTTTTCACTTGGTTCATCAAAAATACCAAAATCTAAATTCACTGGATTTTGTTTTACTGAGCTAAAATTCGACTGGTTCAATGTTTCAATTTTTGAAATATTTAAAAGGGAACTGTTTAATATAGTATCATTAGTTGAAGGAGAAGAAGCTGATGGAAAAGTTAATGTATGAAGTGAATCCAGCAAATTGGTATTATTATTCAAAATATAATAACTCGATTCATCTGAAATGAATCTGTTTGTTGTCAGAGTTGTTTCATTTAAGCCGTCTTGTTTGATTTGACAGTGTAATGCTGTATAGCATACGAAAAATATTGCTGGAAAGATTATGCAACAAGTTATGATGAGTAATCCAAAGAATCTATGGAAAAAATAGATGCGGAAAAGGGCGATAATTTGCTTGCTTTTATGATATTTTTTGAGTTTGGTAAAACAACATGGCGTTGTTTGAATTTGTGTCGTGCCGACTATAGGTAACGGCATGGATGAGGACGTCAAATCCAGCCAGGATCGGAAAAATAAGACAGTTTTCCACTAATCTGTGACCAGTATGTAAATATCTACTGTACTCAACATAAGGAAAAAGATCTGAATTGTAAACACAAGTATCAAGTCTATGATTGGTTCCTCCGGATCGAGATACTTGGTGTTCCTGTCTATCAAAGCACATGCAACAGCCTAGAGACTTTCAGCAGCAGGTATCTCCACTGGCTTAGTACTGAAGATCGAATTGCAACAAGAGTTTTTTATCGAACAAACGATGAACCTGTCAGCCAACCTATATGCAGGTGAAAATAGAGATGGATAGGACATATGCGGTGAGGTGACTGAGTGGAAATCGAATAGAGGACTGTTATAGTTAGCCCTCTGAGGTTGGCAAGAAGGAGACCATATCAGGAGGAAATGGCGGCCTATAGTCAGTCATGAAACAAGCTAGGAAAGACTGAGGAGAACAGAGTTAAATGCAGGCGTAGCAGCTGAAGTCCTGTGTTTTTCTCGGAACCCAAAGGAGTAGTAACAGTGAAAACTAGTCGCATACAACTGTCCTTTCTCCTTCTCCTTTTACTTCTTCCTTGATCTCATTTCATTCTATGTGGAACAAGCTCGGATGTTTTTGTCCCTTCGAAAAGGGACCAAGAGGTAAGTTAAAAGACAATCAAAAAACACAGGAAATACATATCGCTCTTCGAGGACATAAACAGGCGATTAAAACAAAGTACAACTGAATAAATCTGTGTAAAACAAGGTAGCTCAGTGATTTGAACAGGCTACCGTCAAGTTAGCGCCGACAACAGGGGGATGCAACATCCAGGATGCGTGTTTCATCCAATTATTTGTGACCTATCAGCTGGCTGTACTTGTATCCCTAGTGAATGATGATGTTCTCACCAGAAGGCAGCACCCATTCAGGGTTTGCTCACTAAGGTGCAAGAACACTATCCTGCATAGTTATGAAGAGGTGGAAGTGCAGCCATAAGAAGCGCAGTCATTGAACATCTGGTCGATAATGATCACCCTACCTGTACAGCCTCAGCCTTTAAAGTCGTCTACAAGAATTAATTAATTTTTTCAAATCACTACGTATCCGACTCATCTGTATTGCTAAAGTTTTGGCCATTGGAACAGGAAAACCAGATCTCAGTATACAGAAAAAGTTGGTTCAACCTCTTCCCCTCCAACTTTCATGGTCTTAATTCCTCTATGCTAAAGTATGGTAATTCCTGATCATATTTTGGCTCTATTTATCTTTCGTTTCTTTTTGTTTATTTAATTTGTATAGTCTTCCCTCATTATTAAGTTGATTGTTACTATTGATCTGATGCTCGCTGGTGACTTGGTGCAGAACGGAGTTTCCTGGAGTTCTAGTGAGAAGTCGTGACCAGTGAGGCCCATCCAGTCGAGTGTGACAATGGATGTCCCACCGATAACATTGGTTGGTGGTCGAGCAAAGTGTATCACGAATTGGTAGAAGTTAGAGTTCATATGCTGGCCATTGAATCGGGTCCCAGTGACTAAATGGCTTTGTAACCGGTAGGCCTTGGGTTCGAACTCTGGTGGTGGGTGCCTACTGCCTATGATTTCCAAGCACAAGGATGAAACAGATGGCTGTCCATTACTCCCTGTAGCTGATTTTCAATGGTTCGCTAACTGATAATAGTTCGTGATCAATTCGTTACTATTATTATTGATATTCCCGCTTTGAACCGTTTCCGGCATTATTTCACATGTTCCCCTTGTTAATGTAAATCAAATATTTTTTCACAATGTTAAATTTTATGTTACCGGGGTTTATTTAATGTTATGCAAAGATTTTATTTGCCCGCACCTTCTTCTACCATCTGTACATCCTGTGAACTATTCTATTTATAACATTATATGTTTTACCACTTTAAATTAAACTATGATTATAATGACAAACATTTAAACGGGGAAAATTAATACATACCATTGAAAGATAGGAATGGTTGCAACACATGGATTGTGTAATGCATAATTTTGAAGAGTAATCAGGGAATAAGCATGTGCTCAAGTTGATTACGCAACAGATTGTTAAGGGAAATAAAACGATTTGGACAATGATAACTTGTAACAAAGGATGAAGTGGTCATAATAATACAATAATTTTACAAGGATAACATGTAATTACCCTTCTTATCTAATTCCACTATATATAATTAGTTGTTTTTTGACACCGAATAATCTGTCTACCTACATCAAATTCTGGAATTATGTTCCTTATGCCTTATATCTATAACTCAAAGTATTTATGAAAAAGTATGTTCCACAACTTTCTTGAAACCTATAATTTGATTTTGTTTAGGATGTATGCAGTTGATGAGAATCCACGAAATAAAACGAGCTCGTATTATCCTGCAAACATGTTCGTTCTTTCTCTCTTCAAACTAATAAAGGGAACCGGTTGCATGAAACATGTAATTAAAGATGAAGTAGTCGGAAAAAATGATAAAACAATTTGGACAATTATAATTTTTACAATTTTTAAAGGTTTAGGGGGAGGGGGGCGAAGTAGTCCGGTTTATACATTCAGGTAACAATGGACAAGGAAGGCAAGGAAAAAGGCTATACAAATTTCTTCTGAACAAACAGTTTTGGCTTCTCCTTCAGGTAGATTCCTATCGCTTCCGCTGTATGTAGAAGATGAACTCGTAAAGCACACTCTTTAACACACTCTGTAGATGGCGAGCATAAGGATGACGTTAATACAGCATTTTTAAATTATTTATCGCATTCGTACTAATCTTAATTTTACTTTAGGAGTTCATCTTCTACATAGAGCGGAAGCTATCGGAATCCATCTGAAGGAGAAGCCAAACCTGTGTGTTCAGAAGAAATTTGTACAGCTACTTTCCTTATCTTCCTTGGCCATCGTTCCGTGAATGTATAAAGCAGACAACTTCGCCCCTAAACCTTTAAAACTTTAAAATTTATAATTGTCCCAATTATTTTACTATTATTTTGACTAGTTCACCCTTAGTTACAAGTTATCATTGTATATTATTATTTATTATTGTTTCCTTTAATTCTTAGAGGAACATAGGGCTTCAGCTGCACGTCTCCATTGCGTTCGGTTCTCTGCCAACCTAATCACCTAGCTCCATGTCTGCCCACATGCTTTCATCTACCTCTTCCATGTCACCCTCGTACTGACGACCAAACTGACTCTTCCCATTTGAGTTGCACTGGAGAGAAGGAGAGAGCCTGGCATGTGATGTCACAGAGTATGGCCAAGCCAATCCAGCTGCATTTTGAATAAGCTTTTATTTTGATAAATCACACAATGGTATATAATCATGTCAACTTGATATGATTACGAGCAATTGTTTGTGCTCGAAACGTCATCAGTTAACATTACTGTATACCACTGTGTGATTCATCAAAATAAAATCTTATCCATAGTGGAGTTATACTCCATCAGAGTGCCCTAGTTTTATACTTATACCACCTACATTTCTTCTTGAAGATTTGTTACACAGTTGATCCCTGCTGAGTTGGTTCGCTCATTGCCAGAGATCCCTCACCATTGCTGATCTTTTCTGGTCGGCCATCTGATCTTGAGTAGTATTGAGTGAATACAGCTGTTGATGAATGTCTGTAGTTTGTTTGAGGTGCCATTCGTGACATGCCAAGTCTCTGATCCGCAAGATAAGTAGCACTGACTTCAAATCGGAGTTGAAAATCCGCCTGTAAAATTTCATGCTGAGTACTGCTGATCTCCACACAGACTTGAGAGAAATGAAAGTTTGTCCTGCTTTCCCGATGTTCCTTGCTTTGATGATATCCTCGCCAGTTCCGTCCGCCTGTAGTTGAAACGATGCTTCCCAGGTCGGTTGGTAGGTAGCTCGGTAGGGGAGGTTGCTTCTTTCAGACTCCTCCCATTCATGCTGGCTGATTGTTGTCTGTTGCTGTTTCTGTTGCTGTTGACCAGGAATCTCCATAGTCACCTCTATTTTCTTTATGTACACCTGAATGAAGTTCTATCTTCACTGAATGCTTCTTCTGCCAGCTTGTTACTTTTCACTTGCATATCTTCCAGTTTGTGGGAAATCAGACATATATCATCGGCGAAATCCAGATCCTCCAAGTGTTTTTTGTGTGTTTATTTTATGCCTGTCTCCTCGTTGATCGCATATTCCACTCTACCGCACTTAGGAAAATCATTGGAGATAGTAGGCAGCCAGCTTGTCTTACCGTCGTCTTCACTCAGTCGAAGGGTTCCGTGAGCTTCCCTTTTTAATTACTTGGCACGCAGCATTGTCGTACAACTGTTGGATGAGATGTATAATTGTTGGTGGCACACTGTAGTAACGAAGTGATTTCCGAATCACCTCTCGATCGACACTGTCTTCTAAAGGCCTTTTAAAAGTCGAAGAAGTTGAGATAGAGAACTGACTTCCATTCCAAGCTCTGTTCAATGATAATCCGTAGTGTTGTGATTTGATCGATGCATGACCTGTTCCTCCTGAATCCAGCTTGTCGTGGTCGAAATTTTTCATCCAGGGCTCTTCAGGAAAACGTGGCTTAGTATTTTGCTTAGGATGAACAGGAGCATAATGTCACGCCAATTCTTGCATTGAATTAAGTCTCCTTCCTTTGGCAGTTTGAATAAATAGCCTTTCTTCCAATCCTCAGGTACCTTGCCTTCTTTCCAGTTATTATTGTACAAGTATTTTAATTGCATTTCATACTATTATTATTTTATGCATTCACGTATATGATTGAATTCTCTCACGGGACATAATTTCTTTAAAACCGTATATATGTAAGGTTGTACAGCTTGATAATAAATTCGCTGAAGAGAGCCACTTCGTTCAGTCAACTTGTTTTGATTTTCCATATTAACAAAATCTCTGTTAATGAAGGAAAAGCTTCACATAGCAAAAATTCCAACAAGACATTCATTACTCTATTAGATACCTTTCCTGGAGAAAAACATAAATAGCAGCCGATTAAAGACGGAAAACTGTTTGTAGCTTGATAGTATAGAATACTACAAGCTGGTTTGAGTATTTGAAAAACGCTCACTGGAATGGAATAATTGTTTGCAAAATCTTGCTTGAACAATCTATTTACAGGATTTCATAATGAGCTGACATCTTTTAGAGAACCAGCACTCCCAGTTGGTTTTCCAGTGGTTCTCTAACCGATTTCAGCTCATGATGAAATCCTGTAACCAATCAATCCCAATCCCTACAAACCAATACTTGAAAATCAATGAGATGCTCACTAGCGACTCGCCCTATTTCGGGCAGTTACCTGAGGTTCTAGTGGAAAGCCGTGACCAGTAGGATACAGCGGGTTAAAAATGAGGCAATAACTAATCGAAGAAGACTTTACGAAATGGTCGAGCTATGTCATGGATTGGCAGAAGTCAGAATTCATTAGCTGGCCGCCGGATTGAGTCGCAGAGGCTCAATGGTCTACTAGCTCGGTAGCCCGGTAACCAGAAGGTCCTGGCCTCGAATCCAGCTGGGGTGGGTGCGTACCGATGAAGAGTCCGAAACTAGGACAACGGAAACAGCTGTCTAGTACTCCCAAGTTTTCCAGTGGTTTTCTAACTGATGTCATCTCATGATAAAATCCTCCATCCAATCAAACAAAATCTCTACAAAACCAATACTTGAAAATAGGAAATACTTAAACAAATAAAAATAAACTTACGTTAATCTATTTCTGTAGATAAATGTATTATTGTGGTGATTATTACCGTTCCTTAGATGATTGATTCTCTCATTGAACAATGAGGATAATTCTTGTAAGTTTGAATTTTCTGTTAATTCTTTATTACCTTCTAATAACTGATGATATTGATCACATTCACTTTCATTCAATGGTTTTAGATGGAATTCTGTAAGAGACTAAAATTGAATATAAACAACAAGGATGAAAGGTTTTCAGAAAACATGCATATGTATATATATATATATACATATGTATATATTCACTTATTGAGGGTGATCCAAGATTCAGCCCTCGACCAGTGCAATCCTAAACCTGGCCTGGTCTGTTTTACGCCCGGTAAAGAAGGACGTTTGGGTAAAAATGAGGGAATCAGTCCCTCTTTATAGTGAAAGCACCTTCACTACTCAAACTTGAAAGCTTGATTTTGAAGCCCTATGTCCTATTCGGAAGTGCAAAGCCTCGTACACTCAAGGTGTTTCATTCGATTCGTAATGGGTCCACCATCTGTGTACAGAGAGGAGGAATTATCCAGTTTATGTACAGAGCAATTTTGACATAATTGAGAATGATACATAATGTCAGTCGACAAAAGACTTCAAACCTTTTTCTGAGCATGTCTCCAGAAGCCTACGTCTTAAGGGAAGCGGCTAAGACCATGGTAGGATAAGAGACTGGACAAACTTTATCTGTATACAGCGTTCGGGGTGGCATTGACGAATTGCCAGCGCCTCCGCCATACACAAAAGCTGAAACCTGACACCCTTTGTACCATTTCGTCTTACCTTATAGGTGATCTTGAAAGACGATTCTGGTGGAGCTGTGTGGCTTGAGTTCACCAAATACTCGAGGATTGAGCTAGTAATTGTCTTGCATTGTCCTTTTGCTAACCATGCCGGATAATGTTCAGAGATGCGTTTGGAAAGTGTACTCATTGTGCGGCCAATATTGGATATCCTCCAAGATTTATCGAGAAAAACGTGAAGTTAAAGGAAAAGCCTGAAAGAACCCAGACGGTGCCGAAGAAACTGCTATTTATGAGTGTTGAATTTAAAGATGATACATCAGCTGAGATCCTGAAGAATCGCTTATGCGAATCACTGAAGAAAGCCTTCTTTATGGCTGAGCTACGTATCAATTTCTACAGCCGACAAATGATCAATGGATGCGTGAAGGGTGAACTGCCACTTTGAGCCACCACAATGTGTGTTTATAAATTCACTTGCTCGTGTGGAGCTAGTTATATTGGCCGCACAAAGCGCACGCTTTCCAAACGCATCTCTGAACATTATCCGGCATGGTTAGCAAAAGGACAATGCAAGACAATTACTAGCTCAATCCTCAAGCATTTGGTGAACTCAGGCCACATAGCCCCACCAGAGTCGTCTTTCAAGATCATCTACAAGGTGAGGACAAATGGTACAAAGGACGTCAGGTTTCGGCTTTTGTGTATGGCGGAGGCGCTGGCAATACGTTAGTACAACCCCGAACTCTGTATACAGAAAATGTTTGTCCAGTCTTTTATTCTACCTTGATCTTAACCTCTTCACTAGTCGTTCCCTGTAAAAAGAAAAATTTTGATTTTTTCTATTTTTAATTTTACTTTTATTTAGCCTTTGCTTTAATAATTAATTCACTATTATCACTCTCACATGTCACTTTTGTACATCTTCACACCCTCTTCACACTTGTTAAATTGACACTCAGCTACCTTTCTTCCCACTACTCAATAACAATTTTAACTTCTATCTTTGTGCCGCTGAGTACCACGTAATTTACAACTTTTAATTTTCACTTCTAAAGCCACCTCTGAGTAATTATATCAATTATGTCACCCTCTATTACTCAATAATAGACCACTATATATTTTTTGGTAAGTATAAATACGACTGTGTACGGCGTTTGAAGATGATTTCGTCGATAAAGAAGCATTTCCTTTACTGAATTTCTCTTTTATTTAGTTCAATTCCATTGAAGTTTGCCGAAGCACAGGGTCTATCAAACACCTGAAGCAGTCATCAGTCTTTAATTGCCATGGTAACTGGATGTCCCTACTCTGTCTCTCTCTTTCTCTCATCTGATTACGTAATCTTTCACTTTAACCTCTCTGCCCTTGATATAGTTCAAATGTGCTTGTCTCTTGTTTCCGTGATTGGAGTTGAACTCACGACATCATTGCTCAGTTTGTTAATTATTTATCATCAACTTTCCCACATCTTGTTTTTATTACGCAACCCCCTTACCATTTCATCCAAAGACTCATACGTATTTTTGTTTCAACTTAAATTTTCTGTGTATTAGATATATGAGTATGAATTCTGAGCACTATTTATTAAGTTTGGGGCAGCTATTCAACTGACATTATATAACATTTTCAGAAATGTTAAGATTGTCTTGTACGTAAATTCAATAATTTCTTTAGACTGTAGGCAGTAATGATAAGCGAACGAAATAAATGATGGTGTGGTGTGTGCTACTGATGAAATTTATCAGTAATACATAAAAAGACGTTCATCGGCATAAACGCATCAAACTGCACGGAGAAACATTCGATGTCAGAGAAAACAAATGAATCAGCGTTGTGGAGATATATGGGAGACGTGAGAGGAACACAAAGAAGCACGATACAAAGGAAGGACAGAAGTAGCACAACACGGAAGATTTGTGCAAATGATGTGCTGAAGACAAGGCGTAGGATTGTTTGACGTTGCACATAAACAATCCTTCATCAAGCATTTCGTCTTCTACCGTTTCATTTGGTGTCTCTGCCTCCAGAGAATGAAGATACCATGGCCGGCGCTTTCAAGGAAGGAGACAGAAGGAGTTTCTTGAGGGACTTCGAAGCGGTTGTTGAGTTGGTGGGCGTCAGTGGTCCGAAGGCGATCTTGCTGGGGACGCTGCTGAGAGGTCGAGCGAAGGTAGCGGTCAGGTGGGATGGAGACCTGGAAGGTATTGATCGGACGATTGATGACATAGTTCGACAGCCCGATGGAAAGGTAGCTGGTGATGTAGCAGTTCCATGCTGAAAAACTGTAACAGGGTAGAGACCCACTAATTTTGGCAGTGAAGCTGACGAATCTACTACGTCATGCACTCCCCATATTGGATGAAGAGTGGAAGTCATAGCTATTGGCGTCTCAATTCATCGAGAGTGTCCAGACCACATTTCTCAGCAACTAAAACTGGCTTGCGCTGCACAAACCGTGGACGTCGGTGTGCTAGCGAAGGTGACAAGGCTGATACTGAGCACAACGGTAGCAGCAATGGAGCCACCAAGATTAAACAAATAGGAACAGGAAAAAAAATTGAAGATTTGGAGAGTGAAGTAGAGGCACTACGAATGAGTGTCAGGAGAGACCGATGTTTTGAATGTAGATAAGTAGATATCACTGGAGAAGGCACTGCGCAGAAAGAAGGGGAAGGAAACATTTCAGACAGTATAGTGTGTGTTCATTCTTGCCTGTAAGATTATAAGTAGTGGGGCTGCCAGGATGGGGGGCGGCATGTATTCTAAGTTGCGAGTAAATTACCGAGAAGTAGTATGTTTAATAAATACAGAAGGTGTCACTTTCACTAACAGACAGATGAGAATCTATGTCAAAAGCATCAGACCGCGTTCATTGACAGTTCAAACGATAGGTGGACACATGTCAAGCACCACAGGCATGCCGTTTTTATTGGCAGTCGCAAAGTAACGTTCCTGTTCATTACTGTGTCCGAGTTACGCGAAAAAATATTTGGGGCTGATTTTCTGCGACAGGATGGTGCCGTAATTACCACGAAGGAGAGGTGATTACGAAGTACGGAACTATCAGCATGTATGAGACAACCGAGACAGCAGGGGTTAAGGCATCGAAAGCACAGAATATGACAGTGTGCGTCGGTGGCACAGTGGTTAGTACTCTCGCCGACCATGCAAATGGTCCGGGGTTCGATCCCCTGCCGGCGCACACCCGATATCTATGGTATGCCTGAATTTGGGCAACCGATATCCATGCTGAAAATTCCATACTTGTACTGAAAATACGGTGTGGAATCAAGCTGTAAATCAAAAAAAAAAAAATACGATCATCTGTTCACTGGATACAGGGACCCTTTGAATTATTGGGGTAAGGTGAGGCATGAAATCCCATTGAGCAGTCGCAAAATGACACTATTCACAACGCGAAGAGTTCTATGTCATTTAGAAGGTGAAGTCAAATGACAAGTGAGGGAGATGTTACACGACGATATTATTGAAGAAGCTGACTGTCCGTATAACTGCACATATCAAGGCTGCTCTTGCTTTATTCAAATTTATAAAGTGGAAGAAGTGTATGAAGATTCTATAACTGGTACTGAACTATAACGAAGTCGACAGTGAATTCATTCGGAATCTCTACAAAATCAAAATGACCTAATACTTTAGCTGATACTTTTAAAAGAATGGATACTGAACAAAGAATACTCTTTCCGATAACTTCATCATCAGGCTCTACAGTAATATATACATTATGGTGAATGAATGAATTAGTGTTATGAACAACATTAATGTTTAAATAACATCGAGTCAATACTATTGATAGATTACAGCTCAATAGCGTCAACGTAAAATAAGCTGAATGTCAGAGAAATTAGGAAAGATAACATTACAAATTCATGAGGGGGGCGATTTATATTGGCCGTTGCTCTAAGAACTTGATTTTTCTTGCTCGAGAACATATCACACTATGGCTAAGTAAACGTGTAGTTAAAACCACCAACAGTTCGATATTGGACCATCTGGTGCCAACCGGCCAGTCACAAAGCCAGCGTGGAAGAATCCTTCTCTATAATCTACCGAGTGCCTAATAAATTGCCAAAATCATCGAAGCACCGCATGCTCCAAACAGCAGAGGCTATTGCGATTCGCCTTAAACAACCAGTGCTCTGTGTTCAAAAGAAGCAAGTTCAGCCCCTACTACTGCCCTGGCCGGCCTTCAGTAGAGACTATAAACTCATGAATTTGTAATGTTATCTTTCCTAATTTCTCTGACATTCAGCTTATTTTACGTTGACGCTATTGAGCTGTAATCTATCAATAGTATTGACTCGATGTTATTTAAACATTAATGTTGTTCATAACACTAATTCATTCATTCACCATAATGTATATATTACTGTAGAGCCTGATGATGAATTTGTCCAAAAGAGCACTCTT